TACCCTCACAAAGTAGAAATATGGTTTACCTTCAGATTGTGAAATCTCATCACTTACATAACTTAAGATATTAAGGGTACGACTCCACGTCATTATATGACAGTTGAGTCTAACTAATGCTGTTTGGTAAATGGTATTAAGAACCATATGTAATATACTATATATATTTTGATAGAGCATTAAACGGTTTAAAGTACAATAATATTTCTATGCAGATAATTACAATTCAAATACTTCAAGGGCTTCCTGAAGTTTGTAAAAATCATGATTTTACTTCCATTGTCACTTGTTGTACAGTCATAATATTTGGCATACAGCTTATCTGTGAATAAATCTGTGATTTTTATATTTCATTTTCCAAAATATATTGTTTTGAAAGTCAGAATTTTTGGAATACAATGCTTTATTGGCAAATGAATTTAAGTTTATGTAAAATTTATATATATATATATATATATACAGTTCTGTGTAAAAATGTTAGGACAAAGTCAAAAATTAGATTTCAGGCTACTTTCAAAGAACAATGGAAGGTAAATCACAGATGAAACATCAAAATTTTATTAATCTTCATATTTAGTAAAACAGAAACTCTGTGGAAGTGCTTAAGTTTAGCAAACAGTTAATATTTTGTGTCCCCCTTTTGCTTTAATAACTGCAAACAGTCTTTCAGGCATTGTTGCAACATATTTAATCAGTGTCATGTTCAATATGTATATTTCAGTTAGTGTACTATTATTGTATATTTTCTACTTAATTACACTCCATGAATTGATTATCAACATTTATAATAACTGCGTTAAACTAGCCATTACAACTCTCTATATAGATTTCTTATATTCAAAAACTTTACAGTCAGTAAAAACGAATTTTCACTATACATAATGATACAAAACGCGAAATGTACATCCACAACATTCTCGAGATTTGATAGTCGTGAAAACGAATATTTAATTTCACTTATCTTAACGGTCAGTAGAACATTTGTATTGATTTTTTACTTAGCAATACAAAACTGCAGATGTAAATTCATACTATTGTATTTATTAAGATTTGACAGTCCCGATGGATCACATAAAACATATAGGACACTCATCAATGTGATTAGATCTACAAAGCTCACTGATATCCTCTTCATATGGAACATTCATTACCAGAATATACAACACACTTAGAGTCCATGACTAAAATTGCAATTCACTCTAATATATTTTATAGCATAAAAGAAGGTGTTACGACAGCAGAAGTCACGTGACTCTAGTAACACGTTATGAGATTCTAGAAGGATCTTGTCTATGTGTTGCAACTCTAGTCTTCTCTACACACCCTCTATTTTTGTATATAAGTGTGCCAGATAAAGCAAAATTAATTAGGTGGAATTGAATTGCAGACAGGCAGAAATAGAGATGGACAATTGAGTCAAGCGTGGTAGTAAGTAAAGGGCGTGAATCGTTTGATGAGAATTATAGCGTGTGTTTAAGTTAAAGTGACTGTGTAAATTAAGTGTATTGCAAAGTTGAATTGAGAAATAATAAATAAGTTTTATTTAAGAAAGGATTTGTATCACTAAAGATTCATCCGAAAGAAATTATGCGGGAGATTAACAAACGACCAGAGACGTAACAAATTGGTGTCAGGAGTGGGATAAAAAAAAGAGGAAGAAGATGGAAACCAGAGGTGGCAAATCAAACTACAGTTTAGCAGATTTGATGGCAGCAATACAAGTACAGCAAAAAAAAAACAGAAGAGAGATTAGAGCAGTTGTGGA